AATTATTTTCTTTTATTTGCATTGTCTATTACATTTCTTATAAGTTTGTGCAAGTTTTTTTCTCTTATAGCGATTTCCTCCGTTGATGATGAGTATGATATCCGTTCGGCAAACAAACGTTGTAAAGTGTTCTTTTTGCTTGGTGATATTTCTGTTCTATTGCCCAATTTTGAACGACCACTCAAACTTTTTTGCTTTAAAGTATTAATATTACCATGATAAAGATCAGTCAATGCTATCGATATAAATTTTGCATCTCCTTTTTGTGTGTTGTCTATTGATTTTAGTTGTTCCAAACAACAATCGGAAAAGTCTTCTTTAAAACTATCGAATTTAACGGATTTTAGTTTTTCTTTCAAATCTCGAATAATTAGGTCTTTTTGTAAATTTTGTATCAACAAATTTTGATAATCTTGTTTTAATTTTTGGACTTTGCTAGACTTTTCTTCTAAATTTTTCTTCAATAATTCTATAGTATCGCTACAACAATTTTCTGAAAACATTATTATATCTGTTAATGCACAAATATGATTAAAGTATACTTTGACACTGACTTGCGTTTCGGGTATTCACACAAACACAACAAACAAGCAAGCAGATAAATATTTATTATGTGTACCGCAAGTGTGCTTGTACTTTTCTGTTCAATATTTTTTACTGAACAATAAAAATGTCTGAGAGCGAAAATATATTAAATAGTGACTTGAATATTAGTTACGAATTAGAAAATTCTGATTGTTTCGACTATGATAAAATTTCAATTGTACCGTGTGAGAAAAAAGATTTTTCTTCAATTACTATTGAATGTCACAAAAATATCGAAAAGAACACCAACGATTCATTAGAAAAGGAGTACGAAAAAATTGAAAATTTGACGTTAAGTTTTAATTTAAATGATTCAATTGAAACCATCGAAACCGAAGCAAAAGATGGAAATCAAAAGCAGGTCAAATCATCCACAAAAGGTATTTTGTTTTTTTTTTAAAAAGAAGCGTAAGAATTTCAGTCGTATTATATTGATGACATTTTTCATCATATTTCTAGATTTCTCTCTCGTTCGAGAGCATACGGAACGAATCGTTCAACACAGTCTGAACTTCAACGCTTCTTACAAAAACATGGAAGAAATGGCAAAGATTGTCAACAGCACTCCAAATAGTACAATTAAAGTTCCACAAACGAAATACACAATAAAAAAACTTATGAGTCCAGCATTGACATCTGAAATTCACATTAAATGCACAGACTGTAAAAACTATATTGCGAGTTCATCGAACCATACGGAATGTCCATTATGCCTTAAAACAATCAAAACAACAAATTCCGATTATTTTAGTTACGTACCAATTGAACAACAGCTCAAGTTAAGTCTAAATGAGAACATTGAAGATATTATTTCTTATGCTTCAAACATTTCATGTGCAAATAGAATCAACGATATACAAAATAGTAAAGTATTTAAAAATGCACAAAAAAGGTTTCCAAGATCAATATTATTGCCTTTAATCGTGAATACGGATGGTGCTAAGGTCTATAAATCAACATCAAAATCGTTATGGTTGATTCAAATTTGTCTAGGCTATTTGCCACCAGCGATTCGATATAAACCACAAAATATTCTCCTTGTTGCCGCACATTTTGGTCCGAAAAAACCAAAAATGGAAGACTTCTTTTACCCATTTTTGAGAGAACTCCGAGATATAAATGAAAAAGGTGGAATCATCATCGAGAGAAATGGAAAAATTAATTTCATGCCTTTCGTTTTTTGTTGTTGCTGTGATTTACCAGCAAAAGCCGATGTCCAAGGAATGGTTGGTCACTCTGGTCGATTTGCGTGTAGTTATTGTTTACATCCTGGAATATCGACAAAATGTGAAAACGATAAGAAAGCAGTTATACGTTACACAAAAGCAAAAAACAATTATGAAATTCGCAATCACAAAAGTGTTATCGAAACATACGATCGTTTGCGATCCATACCAATAAATGGAATAAAAAAAAATGTCTTGTATGATTGCAGCGAATGAATTCGATTTGATCAACGGATTTGCAATTGATGCTATGCATTGTGTACATTTAAATGTTATGCGAAAACAATTGGCTCTATGGTTGGACTCGAAATACAAATCTAAGCCGTTTTATATGAAGAAAAAACTTCAAGTAATTTTAAGCAATCGCCTTGTTAGCATAAAACCAATGTCAGACATTATTCGTAAACCAAAATCAATTTTTATAAAAGGTGAATACAAGGCAAATGAACTGCGAAGTTTGTTATTTTACTACCTTCCGTATGCGCTCCCTGGTCTAATTGATATGAAATATGTAAAACATTTTCGCTTGCTATCATTTGCAACATACACTTTATCAAAACAAAACATATCACACGAAGAAATCGTAACAGCCAACCAGCAGTTGAATGAGTATGTTGATACATTCGAAAATTTGTATGGAAGTGGAAATATCACCATCAATTTGCACTTATTACGACATTTGTCAATGTGTGTATCAAATTTGGGACCTTTATGGGCTACTTCTGCTTACGCGTTTGAAGCAAACAATGGTATTATTGTTAAAGGTAATACGAGTGTGAGAGATATTGTTCATCAATTGACATGGAAATATTTAATGAAGAAAACCGTCACCAAAAAGGAAGAAAATAATACCAAAATTACCTTCGATGGAAAAAAGACGATCAAAATCAGTTCAACCGAGTATGAATTGCTTGCTAACGATGGATTTCAAATGAATAAGAATAATTTTTTGATTATATATAAAAGTGTAACGATTCGTGGCATAAGATATACATCAGAATATTCAAGAGAAATTTCGACTGTCGATTTCTTTGTTCGATTAAAAGATAATGCTATTGGAGTTGTTAGTTTCTATACTATTTTCGATTACAAAATATACGCTTTGATTTATATATATGAAGTAGTTCAGAACAATGCACATTTTACAAAAATTAAACGCACTCAAACTCAAAAACTGATAAAAGTAACGGATATTTCTGAAAAATTGTTATTTTTAAAATTTGGCCCTAACGAATTTGTCACAGTTTTTCCAAATAAATACGAAAAAACTTGAATGAAAATCAGACATGTAATGAGTAGATAAGAATATCACATTCACTATCCAATCGATTTGATAAAGAAAATAATTGAATAACATTTGAATGTATTCTGTAAAAGATATTTCATTCAAACTTCTATATAATTACAAATGATAATATCAATACCGCATGAAAGCAGTAAAAGTTCAAAGTTTATTTCGTTCATTTACCACTTTATTTTATTTAATAAATCATTTAGATAAGATAAACATTTAATGTTTCGGTGGTTTACTTTTATTCATATAGGTAGATATTTTACTTTTTAGATAAATTATTTCTCATAAATTGAGATTTAAAACGAATAAAAAGAATAAAATATTCAAAACTCCAACTTCTTGACTACATCTTTCAATTCGACTTTGAGTTGTGCGCCAATAACATCAGAACGGTCACGACCTTCATTGAATTCAATTTTTGTTTCAGATGCTTCGATTTTTGGTGCCGAGTTCGTATCAAATGGCTTCTCTTCTTTTGATTCATCTTTTGGTCCCAAGGCCGATGACTCGACCGCTTTAGTTGCTTCAACATTTTGATCCATACCCTGATCTTCAGCATGAGAAGTGGTACCATACAGTATACGAAGTTGTTCAGTGTACGATGGTGGTGTTTCGAAGTCAGTAGAATTTTCAGATGAAACATCAGCCGAATAATTCACTGAAAATATATTGAAAATATTTGTATAAAACAATTGTCTAACTATTTGGCATTGTTCTTTGTGGAAGAGAAAACAAATCTATAAAAAACACACGTACCGTCATCATTTGCCTCCGTCTTTGGCTGAACGCTTTCACCTTTGATTGTTCCAACATACATAATAGAATCGTCGAAAAATGTGCCCATGTAAACAATTGAGTCTGATGACATTTCAGTTTCTTAATAAATTTACAATGAAAAAAGAAACAATATTTATGACATTAGTTCATGAAATACATTTAGAAAAAAAGGAGTAGCAACACCGTATCAAATTTCAAAAAAAAAAACGGAAAAAAAATGACCTAAAATAGACATATAAAAATCAAAACGCATTGATTGAGTTTGGTATAGTTCTCTTTTTCGTTAAAAAAAACTTTCCTATATCGCTTGAATTCAAATGTAATGTTTATATTTAATTTATTTTGTCTTCGTACGAGAGGAAAGCATTCATACGCACACCACAGTAAACACACTCATGTTCTGATCGATAATGCACAACGATATGAATGTGAGTCAACCGTACAAACGCAGTATGCCATGTCTCGTTTTCTTTCTCTCCTCATTCTTACACATAATAACAATAATACCGATGCTATACCCTTCGCAATCTCAAACTCAATGTGAATGACACTTTCAAACGAAAAAATATATATGTATGCATATAATTGGGCGACATTTTTCAATTTTTTGCACATCAATACGGTTGCTACAGAGATTTTCATATTAAAAGTAAAACTTACCGTCAATCGATAAATTTTCAACACCAATTGAGATGTTCGCAACAGAATCATTCACGACGTTTGATGTAATTGCAAACTGTTGTCCTGTTTCTTCATTTACGGTTGATTTTTCTTCTTTTCCAGTCGATCCGTTAACAGCAGAGTTCAAAGCACCTTCGATCATTAACCCATTTGCTGGTTGTTGTCCATTTTCTTCGATCAATGTTGCATTTTCATCTTTTCCAATCGATTCATTAAAAGCAGAGTTCAAAGCACCTTCGACTATTTCTCTTTCTTCATTTTTAGCCGGTGTTTCGACTTCAATACTTTGGTTCGATGATTCGTTGGATGATTGTGTTTCGTCTTCCAAATTTTCCGTAAAATCACTGCATTCTTCATCCGAATTCGTAATTGTATCACCATCGCGATAATACACTTTTCTTTGACCATCAACATTCACCACCACGCGAGCACGGGTAACACGATTCATTTTGAAATTATGTTCTGGACAATAAAAAAAATCTTTATGAAGAGCTCACACTAATTTTGCTACGCAAATCAGTTCAATGTCAAAATACGACTGAATTTAACTGCGTCGAACACTTGACTTCTCTCCCCGCATTTTGATCATGTTAATGTGCACAATATTGTTCTCTCTGTGTATGTGTACACATACATCCAAAAACAAAAGATACATACATATACA